AGTCACTTATTTGCTAAGTAATTATTCTAAATGACCAATTAATGTTAATTAAAACATTTGATTAGAGCCCATGCTCTCTCACATCAGAGGGACTGTGCTCATTCTCACTTGGATCAAATCCTTAAGCCTTACGAGGGGCCTTACAACAAGATAGACTAATGCACATGCTGGCGCAAAAGCCAGCACTAGGAGCAACAAGCCCTCCACGGACCGTCGACTTTGTCATCATTGTTTGTTACACCCTTAGTAGGTGCCAGGCACTCTGCTGAGCACTGGCTAGGTATCTTTTCCTTTCAATCTTCAAACAACCCTAACAATCCTATTTTCCCCATTCCACAGATTAGGAAATTGAGCCTCAAAGATACTAAGTAACTTCCTCAAGACTAAGAAGGGCTGTAGCTCAAACTAATTCTAAGTCCAAAGTTATGGGCAAAACTAATACTTCATGTTGTATATAACACAATTTATGCAAAATACCCTTAACAAAGTTTTCTAACATGTGACAATGATCCATTCTATTATGGTGTTCAAAAAAAAATTCCAGAATCACAGATAGGTGGGGATACTTCATGCCAAACAAAAATTGCTGTGTTCTGAAAACAAAAACCACCTTTCGTTTGTTGCCTACTGATCTCCTGGTAGGAACTAATTTTGGTGAATGAAATTGGCTGCCTGAAGAGGTGGAATCACCTTTACTGACCAAGACCTTAACTTTCCCCACAGCTTGACCAAACTTTACAAAGGCTTCTTCCTGCCTCTAGTCCCTCGCCTCCCTTTCCTTTGAGGACTTAATCTAAAAAACTTGGAATTCCAAATTCCTTCTCTGCCCTTTGACATGTAAATTTTTTAAAAACCTTTTGCTAGGTTTTCGACCCAGCACCATTTTTCTCAAGGACCTGGAAGATGGCTCTTAGAAATATAACCTTCAAGGAAGATAGCTCCCCATCTCCCAGTTTCTGTGGGAGGGTAGAAGCCTACCTTGAGGGGGAGAAGCTTTCTCCAAGTTGTAAAACTAACAACTAACTCCAGTCATGAAAATATTTGAAGGAGAAGGTTTACTTTGGATTAAGCCAACTAGCAAACCACAGATTGTCTATGATCTTCCACTGTAGCTCTTAAAAACTCTTTAGACCTCATTTCAGTTGAGTTCAGGTTGAGTCCTCGCCTCCCCCTATTGCAATAGTCTTGAATAAGTCTCCTTGCCTGTTTAACTTTTTGCCCAGTGTAATTTTTGCTTTGACATTACTGCTCTTAGAAAAATGGGAAAAATGAGCGCAAGTGATGTCTAATGACTGTCTTCTATTTTAACCATACGGTACTCATTTTTATTCCAGTTTTCTGGAGAATCAAATTGATAATGGAAAACATAGTTCCTCCACTGAAAGCCAGCTCACCCACCAGTGCCTAGACTTCACTGCCCTGTCCTGACCCATCTGATTAACTGGGCCTGACTCTGTGTGATCAGCGCTGACTCTGACCTAGTGCCAAGGAGATGCTCTATATGTTTCCAAAAATGGAGCACTAATTACTGCTGTTTTTCTGGCTGCAGCTTAAAATTCCCCATGTTAACAGCAATGTGTTGGCTATTATGGGCTAATTAAACTCACTTTTGAATAATTAAATAATAAATACCCCAATTTAAATGTACCATAAAAGTATCTTCTAATCAGGCTCTAAAATGTGATCTAATAAGTGATATATTCCTTTAGATGATTGTGATTACTTATTTAATGAAAAAATGCACCTTGTTCAATATACATACCCTTGTTCCTAATGTGGTTAATGGGATCAGTTCGATAGAAATCCTTTGATCTTTTCTCAAAATAGCACTCTGGAAAACCACTCAAAACTGCATGATAATTGAAGCAAATTTAGCCTAATGAATAGTAATACATGAAAAGGACCTTTTGCCATCAAATTTAAATTTATGCCAGTCATGGAATTATTTGAATGAATATTTAAAAAATTAATCCTGTATTTGTGAGGTGCCTGAATTCTGGAACAGCTGTCAGCATTGCAAGAAATTAAAGCTCACCTTTTCTAAACTACAGAGCTTAGGAGCTCTCATATTACAGTACCTTAATCTTTCCAAATCTCCTTAGCTATGAGAATATTTGTTTCATAGAATAATGAAATGCAATCGTTATATAAAGTACTACGGACAATGATGAATACAGAATAAATCTTCACTAAAAACTGGTTGTTATTGTGATCTCTCATTACTCAATAATATGTGATTCAGCTGATAGGCAATCAACCGTTATCCTCTGAGGGGCCATATTGATCACCTCATCCCCACTGGTTCCAGTTAATGTGTAAGAGATTTCCACAATAACTGCCCAGATTTATTATTCAATAGAGCTTTTTGTTTTCTCATTTGACAAAGGCTTTATTTGAAAGTGTAGACATGTCCTATTAGTTATCCACTCTCCTGCCCACACACATGCACAGAAAAAATAAACATATTATTCTTAGCACTACAAATATAAGAGGAAATTTTCTTTCCTAAATAGGTCTAACAGGAAGCTGGTCCTGCTCTCTTTGTAACAAATGACAAATTATTCATTAGGAAGCTTCAGTACCAAAGAGGGTCATTGTCTACAGTCTCAAATATCAACATAATTCAGAGTTTTGAGAAAGAGGTCTATTTAAAAGAGGGCCTTGAAACTAAGATGTAGTGACATGATTAAAAGTCATCTTGGAACTTAAGTGGTTTGCAGTGTTGCTATTGTGTCAGTCTACTAAGTGAATCAAAATCATAAGATTTTTTAAGAAATCTGTTTTACAAAAACTTATGTACAGTTATACAAATAGTAATAACAGCAAATACACTGTACTTATGAGCAAGGCATTGTTCTGTGACATGCTTTCCATATACTAATTCATTTAATCTAACAACTGTATCTCTAGGCTGAGGGAAAAGCACAGAAGGTGCAAATGTGTTTGAGAATAAGTGTGAAGAACAAATCAGCCATCTGTCACATGCCCAGGCAGCTGAAACCAGGCATTTTAGGATAATGGTACCCTGTGACCTAGTAACCAATGACTGCTTCAGATTTTTTTACCTGTCAACTAAGAGCTGGGGTTCATTAGCCACCCTAAATTGTATAGCGACCCTTGTATTTCAAAACACTGCTTATACCAATGCAAAGCTGTCATCCAATGCTAACCACACATGATAGTGTGGCTAGAATCAAGTATAATTGAGTTCCATGTGTTCCTTCCTACCCAGGGGGTTGTTCCTGATCTAGTTTCAACAAGTATAGTTCCCATCAGGAGGTCTGAGTGGTTTTATCTGTTGCCCACCAATTTTCAGCCAGGAAAAATAACAACATTATGTAAAAGGAAAAAAATAGCTCGAATATTCTTTTTTATATTACTGAATTGGGAAAAAGAAAACCTGTGCTTTATGCTCTATTTTATACCAGGCATTGCAGTGTCTTAAGTATACAAGTTTTTAATTTTTGCAACAACCTCAAAAAAGAAGGTGATATTTTGACATCAAAGATGGAGAAGCTGGTAATCATAAAGAATAACTGAAAAAGCATCTCGGGCAGAATGAAGTATGTCATTCTATAGAATGTACTCCAGGGTGTAAACTTTATTTTTGCTCCTAGAGCTTAACAGAGCAGTGGGTACACAATACTACTTGATCAATGGTGAAACTGACAACCCAAATATACAACTTTTCTCTTCAGTAAGAGTTTTGGATGAAACCACATGGTAATTCAAATAAATAAACAGTTGATAAAATGTATAATTTACGTGTGTTCAAGAAGATGCCAGATTTTTCCTGTTTCATTAATAGCTTTGGGAGAGCACCTAAATAACAAGCATAGCACATTTTTAGAAAAAAAGCCATTTTTTGAAGAGGGTAATTAGAGAACCTTCATATGTAAATATTCAGAAAGCCTGAATAGAGATCAGTGTGAAATATAGAGAAGATGCAGGCAACCTGGCTATAAAAGTAATAATGCATTTCTTTATAAAAATATCTCCTTTGACTTGCTTGAAGAGCAGCAAAATGCATAGCAGATATGTTCATTTCTGAATATTTAATTCAGTGTCACTTTCCTAAGAAATCACTTTCTGAAAATATGGCCTACTAATATATCTAACAGTATCAAAACCCTAATAACATCAACTACAATTTCTATCTATATTCAAGATGAAAAGAAAGCAAGAAATTGATATTAAAGAAAACTAGTACATCAGTGTATTAAGAAACAAACACTTGCAGGTCATCCTATAAAGAAACCATATTCAGAGATTTATAAAAATCCTCTATTCCAAAAAAAAGTTGGAAAATGGAAAAAAAGTCATGTAAACTAAGACCTTCATAGGAAGCTGTCACACAGAGACAATTCAACCCAAAGAGCAACCCTCCATGGATTACCAAAGATAGGCATGAAAAAATCATAGGGAACTGGACAGAATAAAACAGTGTAGAAAAGAGATCTCACTTACAAAATGCAATACAGAAAAAGAAGCCATAGAGGGCAGAGCAGAAGAAAAGCCGAGGGCAAACGATTTCAAGTGTAAGCCGTAAGAGGAACTGATGAATTGAAAGTGAGTGAGGAGAGAAAGACTGAGGGCCGGGATGATAGTTACAGCAGGCTTGGCCTCCAGAGCACTGAGGGAGCTGTCGTCAGAGTCGGGAGCTGCTGTGTCTTGTTACATTTGGACAACAGATTTTGATGCGGTGGAACAAAATGAAAACTTACACAACAAAGCCATGGAGAGAGCCAGACAAACAGGGTCCCTGCTTCATGGAGCTTACCTTCTTGTCGTGGAATGCAAGCTATATATTAATGAACAAGGAAACATAAGTAGACAAGATTCTTTCAGATTGTGAGAAGTGTGGTGAAGAAAACAGGCAGAAAGATTATCTGGAGTATGGCTAGTAATAAGATGCTCCTCACTTCCCACTGTTATAATATTTAATCAAGTACACAAAAGTCAGATGAATAAAAAGAAGAGGAAGATGACAAAACGGTCACCTATTTCTTTTCTCTCTTCCCCTCCCGTCGCCAGCCATCCTGTTGTCGGGGGAGTGTCCCCAGAGAAAGGGAGAGACAGTAAACCAGTTTATAAGTAATGGCTAGAAGAGCTGGATCATTCAGCTGTGCTAAAGAAGAAAAAATAAGTGACAATTGTAAGTGCAATTAGAGTTCTCACACTGGATTTACTAGGTGCTTAAGGTGAGGATTCTATATAAAGAGCATGATGGGCTATACTCAGCAAAAGGATTCAGGCCATAGGGAAACCATCAGGCACTCTAATTAGTAAGAATGTATCTTGTTTTCAGCACTACTGCAATAGAAAATACTGAAAAAAAATTGACTTCTCTCAAGAAAACAGTAATTGGGGAAACAAAATAAAATATAAACATACACACACGCACACACACACCAATGTACAACTGGAATTTGTTTTACGAACAATCTATGCTGGAGGATCTCTGAGGAGATCAGGTACAAAGAAGAATGTCATGGTTGGGCATATGAGAATAGGAGGAATGGGGAAAGAAGAAATTTGAGAGCGGGAGAAGGCAAAAAAATGGAGCAAAAAAGCAGTAACTTTTGTGGGGTTTTTTTGACCAATAAAGAAAGAATGAGAATACCAATGAAAACAAATGCAGGATCCCGGCAAAGAGGCCCAGGATGGAATCATAAAGTGACTGCATCTGTCCGAACAAGGAAAGAGAATGGGTGTAGAGATCAATGAACTCGAGGAATGGAATGGGTGCTCATCAGAGCTCTAATAGTTGTATATGAAAGACGATTCTTAGAGGCTGAGAATTCTGACCCGTGGGGTGGAGGGTAAAGGAGGATGAGAATGCAGCCAGTCTGGATCTCCCAGACCTGCTGAGATATGACTGCTGAGCTTCTGCTCATCACTGCATTCAGTACCTGCTCTAACTGCTTAGAGGATGTCGCTGCAGCTAGTGGGGAGAAGTGATATTCTACAAAGAGATGCAAGATGATATGCATCCTGAACTATTTTTTATCCAAATATCAAAATGAATATATTCTTCCCAGGAATGCAATTTAGGTATTTTATGGTGACATGTCTCCTGGGCTCTATGTGACACCAGTTGAGGTTATGAGCTAGCCAATAGTGGTTAGGCTATGTCTACCTCACTCATTCTGTTAACCTAAGCAAGAAAATTATATATTTAAGAAATACTGCTTTGCAAAGGAAACTAATGGAAATGATGTGCATACTTGATATTAGGAACATCTGGAATCAGATCCAGCCTATGACTCACTCATTTTCAGGGTCCATAGCCACCTCTTAATGGTACAGAATTGCACAGAAACAGTATTTATGGGTTAGTCAGTTACCCCACATCACAAACGAGGAGGAGAAATGACACATCAACTAGAATTAAAATGCATCAGGTTGAATTTTAGACATAGCAAGACTCAAATATTTCTGTATTAAATATATCAAGGATGCTACCTGCTATTTGTTTTACTACCGCCAAAAGACTTTCACTTCCAAAATTCAGAAATATGTCACTTAAGATAATTTGCTGGCAGAGTGACTGGTGGAGACTTTTTGTCAGTGGAAAGGTCAAATAATTTTCTACAATACACTACAGTTTTCAAGCTTTACAATTTTACTATAGGTGACCCAAGGGAAAGATCATTATGCCATTACACACAAAAATTATGTTGTGAATTAATGGAATGTGAATGGTAAGGCACCAGCCTTGTGTGCTGTAGCCCACTGCTTTTTCTGAAATATATAATGTTGGTGGGTTTTATTTTAATGTTTAAAAAAAATAGAAGTGGGGAAATTTAACCATGTTAAAAAGCAAGAACCCTTATCTCACAACAAGGTATTGTGTAATAGGGCAGACTTCTAGACATACATGCAAGGCTATTCTAAGGACTATACATGCAACAAAGATTTAGGATAAAGCAAAAGAAGTAAGAAAAAAAGTTGACTAACCTAACCCACCTGAGCTTGGCTCACAGGGGTCAATGTCCTCGTCATCACTGGGACACTCAGCTGAGGCCACAAGGATGTCATCTGTGGTCTGTAAAAGAATCATATTCAGTGTATTAATTTAAAGAGACCTAATAGATTTTCTCACCTTTGTCTCACTGACAAGTGCAACACTGTATTTACCTGACATGTTGAGAAACCAAGTACAATATTTCCCTTCCCAAGTACACAGAGCTTACATTTTTCAATTTATGCTAGATCCCTCAAGGAAGTATTTGCATATTTGTGAAAACTTGATTATAGCTATTTTACATGAGGACACTAATGGTGGAAGTCAACTTGTAGATATCCATCCATTCAACTGCACAGAGAAGCTGTACACAGTAGCATGCAGAGGTTTAAAACAAGCTGGCAGACAGATGATTTGAAATTTATTGCAGCCCTGGAGTGCTACAAAGTATGCATCAGTAAGCTTTATGCAGTACTTGTGCTTGGCTTCCTAAAAGCAGAACAGCTATAACCTTTTATATTCATGACCAGGTAGAATTTGATATAGCTTGTCATTATTAGGAAATACAGATTAAGTAGAAAATATCTTTCATTGGTGCAAAAAGGGAAGCAAATATAATCCATTTAAGGAATTGTTTAAAATTTGTGTTGAGCTTTCACACTTGATTCTCATTTTTGCAATATTCAGACAGCAGGTATAGTTACCCCATTGTCCTTTCCATTATTAAGATTTCATAATAAATGAAAAGTGTATGGGGAGCAGTGATCTTTTACAGTGAATAAGATAGAGGTGACAGTTTTCTCTGTGACACTCTAGTTGCTTCATTGCACTTATAGCAAAAAAGATAACCATCACTGTAATAAAAAGCAAAGCATGTAAATCCTAGCAGTTAGTCACATAATCAACACATTTACAAGCACCAAAGGTTGTTCTTTTATTGCCACTTACAAGCAGCAGTAAACACAGCACAGATATTGAATGGAAATTCCATCAGATTTGGCTAATGTTAACACCAAGAATTCAAGGTCCAAGAAGGAAAATATCTCATTACATTGGCTAAGGATTAAGGAGATTATAGTTGTTTAGACAAAACTCAGAACCACAACAGTGATGGAACCCTTACTTAAAAGTGGAGTTAAGTAATATAGATCCTACATTAATGAAAAAGCAGAAATATGATATGACTTACTTTCATTAAGGGAATACCTAATACAGTTAAGAGACTAAAGTATTAATAAATAAATACTAAGAAAATTGTGCCATCTTGAGAACTGGAGACAAGGGATGATGTACTTTTGTGACAAAAATTAGGCTTAACCATCTTTCTTTTTTTAAAAATTTTTTTATCAAGGTATTATTGATATACACTCTTACGAAGGTTTCACATGAAAAAACAATGTGGTTACTATATTTACCCATATTATCAAGCCTCCCTCCATACCCCATTGTAGTCACTGTCCATCAGTGTAGTAAGATGCCACAGAGTCACTATGTGCCTTCTCTGTGCTACACTGTTCTCCCTGCGGTCCCCCACACCATGTGTACTAAACATAATACCCCTCAATCCTCTTCTCCCTCCCGCCCCATCCTCCCTCCCATACCCCTCCCCTTTGGTAACCACTAGTTCATTCTTGGAGTCTCTGAGTCTGCTGCTATTTTGTTCTTTCAGTTTTGTTTCATTGTTATACTCCACAAATGAGGGAAATCATTTGGCACTTGTCTTTCTCCACCTGGCTTATTTCACTGAGCATAATGTCCTCCAGCTCCATCCATGTTGTTACAAATGGTAGGATTTGTTTCTTATGGCTAAATAGTATTTGTGTTTATGTACCACATCTTCTTTATTCATTCATCTACTGATGGACACTTAGGTTGCTTTCATATCTTGGCTATTGTAAAAAGTGCTGCGATAAACATAGGGGTACATATGTCTTTTTGAATTTGAGAAGTTATATTATTTGGGTAAATTTAAAGGAGTGGGATTCCAGGGTCAAAAGGTGGTTCTATTTTTAGTTTTTTGAGGAACCTCCATATTGCTTTCCACAATGGTTGAACTAGCTTACATTGCCAACAGCAGTGTAGGAGGGTTCCCCTTTCTCCCCATCTTCACCAGAATTTGTTGTTCTTAGTCCTTTTGATGCTGGCCATCCTTACTGGTGTGAGGTGATATCTCATTGTGGTTTTAATTTGTATTTCCCTGATGATTAGCAATGTGGAGCATCTTTTCATGTGCCTGTTGGCCATCTGAATTTCTTCTTTGGAGAACTGTCTCTTCATATCCTCTGCCCATTTGTTAATCAGGTTATTTGCTTCTTGGGTGTTGAGGCATTTAAGTTCTTTATATATTTTGGATGTTAACCCCTTGTTGGATATGCCTTCTACAAATATATTCTCCCACACTGTAGGATGCCTTTTTGTTCTGTTGATGGTGTCTTTTGCTGTACAGAAACTTTTTAGTTTGATGTAGTCCTATGAGTTCATTTTTGCTTCTGTTTCCCTTGCTGGAGGAGATGGGTTCAGGAAGAAGTTGCTCATGCTTATATTCAGGAGATTTTTGTCTATGTTGTCTCCTAAGAGTTTTATGGTTTCATGACTTAACATTCAGATCTTTGACCCATTTTGAGTTACTTTTGTGTATGGGCTTAAACAATAACCCAGTTTCATTCTCTTGCATGTAGCTGTCCAGTTTTGCCAACAGCAGCTGTTGAAGAGGCTGTCATTTCCTCTTTGTATGTCCATGGCTCCTTTATCTTATATCAATTGACCATATATGCTTGGGCTTTTATCAGGGTTCTCTAGTCTGTTTCATTGGTCTATGGGTCTGTTCTTGTGCCAGTACCAAATTGTCTTGATTACTGTGGCTTTGTAGTAGAGCTTGAAGTTGGGGAGCGTAATGCCCCCAGCTTTATTCTTTCTTCTCAGAATTGCTTTGGCTATTCGAGGTCTTTTGTGGTTCATATGAATTTTAGAACAATTTTCTCTAGTTCATTGAAGAATGCTGTTGGTATTTTGATAGGAATTGCCTTGAATCTATAGATTGCTTTAGGCAGGATGGTCATTATGACAATATTAATTCTTCTTATCCATGAGCTTGGGATGTGTTTCCAGTTATTGGTATCTTCTTTAATTTCTCCCATGAGTTTCCTGTAGTTTCAGAGTATAGGTCTTTCACTTCCTGAGTTAGGTTTATTCCTAGGTATTTTATTCTTTCTGATGCAACTGTCAATGGAATTGTTTTCCTGATTTCTCTCTCTGCTAGTTTATTGTTACTGTGTAGGAATGCCACAGACTTCTACATATTAATTTTGTATCCTGCAACTTTGCTGAATTCAGATATTAGATCTAGTAGTTTTAGAGTGGATTCTTTAGGGTTTTTTATGTACAATATCATGTCATCTGCAAATAGGGACAGTTTAACTTCTTCCTTGCCAGTCTGGATGCCTTTTATTTCTTTGTGTTGTCTGATTGCCATGGCTAGGACCTCCAGTACTATGTTGAATAGAAGTGGGGAGAGTGGGCATCCTTGTCTTGTTCCCGATCTTAAAGGAAAAGCTTTCAGCTTCTCACTATTAAGTATATTGGCTGTGGGTTTGTCATATATGGCCTTTATTATGCTGAGGTACTTGCTCTCTATACCCATTTTGTTGAGAGTTTTTATCATGAATGGATGTTGAATTTTGTTGAATGCTTTTTCAGCATCTATGGAGATGATCATGTGGTTTTTGTCCTTTTTGTTGATGTAGTGGATGATGTTGATGGATTTTCGAATGTTTTACCATCCTTGCATGCCTGGAATAAATCCTACTTGATCATAATGGATGATCTTTTTGACGTATTTTTGAATTCAGTTTGCTAATATTTTGTTGAGTATTTTTGCATTTATGTTCATCAGGGATATTGGTCTGTAATTTTCTTTTTTTGTGGTGTCTTTGCCTGGTTTTGGTATTAGAGTGATGCTGGCCTAATAAAATGAGTTAGGAAGTATTCCCTCTTCTTCTATTCTTTGTAAAACTTTAAGGAGGATGGGTATTAGTTCTTCACTAAATGTTTGATAAAACTCAGCGGTGAAGCCATCTGGTCCAGGAATTTTGTTACTAGGTGGATTTTTGATTACCAGTTCAATTTCGTTGCTGGTAATTGGTCTGTTCAAATTTTCTGTTTCTTCCTTGGTCAGCCTTGGAAGATTGTATTTTTCTAGAAAGTTGCCCATTTCTTCTAGGTTATCCAGTTTGTTAGCATATAATTTTTCATAGTATTCTCTAATAATTCTTTGTGTTTCTGTGGTGTCTGCAGTGACTTTTCCTTTTGCATTTCTGATTCTGCTTATCTGAGTAAACTCTCTTTTTTTCTTGATAATTCAGGCTAGAGGTTTATGTATTTTGTTTATTTTCTCGAAAAACCAGCTCTTACTTTCATTGATTCTATTGTTTTATTCTTCTTGATTTTATTTCTGCTCTGATCTTTATTAGGTCCATCCTTCTACTGACTTTGGGCCTCATTTGTTCTTCTTTTTTGAGTTTCATTAATTGTGAGTTTAGACTGCTCATATGGGTTTGTTCTTCTTTCATGAGGTAGGCCTGTATTGCAATATACTTTCCTCTTAGCATGGCCTTCGCTGTGTCCCACAGGTTTTTGCGGTGTTTAATTATTATTGTCATTTGTCTCCATATATTGCTTGATCTCTGTTTTTATTTGGTCATTGATCCATTGGTTATTTAGGAGCATGTTGTGGAGCCTCCATGTGTTTGTGGGGTTTTTCATTTTCTTTGCATAGTTTATTTCTAGGTTTATACCTTTGTGGTCTGAGAAGCTGGTTGGTACAATTTCAATCTTTTTGAATTTACTGAGGCTCTTTTTGTGGCCTAGTATATGATCTATTCTTGAAAATGTTCCATGTGCACTTGAGAAGAATGTGAATTCTGCTGCATTTGGGTATAGAGTTCTGTGGATTTCTGTTAGGTCCATCTGTTCTAATGTGTTGTTCAGTGCCTCTGTGTCCTTACTTATTTTCTGTCTGGTTGATCTGTCCTTCAAAGTGAGTGGAGTGTTGAAGTCTCCTAGAATGAATGCATTGCATTCTG